TGCAGCGAGAATTTTTCTTTTTTAAAGTTAACAGAACTCACGTAAGGACACACTTTGTAATTCCCATACCTCTAACTTTAGTCCTAATGACTTTCATTTTCAAATGTCATCATTGGCATCAGCACTGACAATTCCCAATTCTATTAAAAATTACTTACAGAGAAAAGCGTTGTAGAGCATAAGGTGATTCTGCGTGACTATAACCCTGCAGGTTGAGACAGAAGCCACACAGATTCATTCTCAGCTACCAAACAACAGCGTGCTTATATGAACAGAGTATTAAATGGCAGAGGTGCCTTTTACCAACAAACATCATTACAAAAGCGTGGAGCCTATAACTCACTAGCTTCAACGGGTTTAAAATCATAAGACTTCTCAGGGGCTTTTTAAAATACGGGGACTTAGTCTGATTTTTCAATTTTGAAAATGCAATAGGACTAATAATTCTTTCATTATTAAACCATTCTAATTTTGCAAGGTTCAAATTTGGTTTTACAATGTGCCATCACTCTAAACGACACAATTCTGTTTTGGATCATTGGGATGATTTGAGATGGGAAGGAAGGATTTGAGGTATTCTTTTACATGGAATCTACACAGATTATTCTGCAGTTACAGAATTAACACATTTTTTAAAGGTTTATTTTTATTATCTTTTATTATTTAAGTTCTTTTCATACAATATATTTTGACCATATTTTTTCTCCTCTCCCAACTCTTTCTAAATCCTCCCCACTTCCCTATCTACCCAAACTTCATGTTCCTTCTCTCTCTCTCAAACCAACCAACCAACCATGGAAACAAAACAAAACAAAAACAAAAAAGGCAAAAAAAAAAAAACCCTACCAAACCACAACAAAAGAAAAGCACACATAAAAACGTGGAATCCCATTTGTATTGGTCACCTATCCTTGAGCATGAGACCTGCCCTAGAGTGTGATTGATATTCCTACTCTCACTGTTGTGAAAACTGACTTTCCCTCTCCCTGCAGGTATCAGTTGAAATTAGCTTCTTGTTTAGGGGTGGGACTTTGTGCTGGGAGTTTGTCTGGCTTGAATCTGTGCAGGTTTGTGTGTACTGTCACAGTCTCTGTGAGTGCATGTATGCCCCCACCCCATTTCCACACAGAGCCCTAAGCCTTCAGTGGAGGAGTGTGATGTAGACATCCCACTCAAGGTTGATTACTCTAAGGTCTCTCACTATCTGCATGTCATCCAGTTGTCTGTCTCTGTGTTAATTATCATCTACTGTAAGAAGAAGCTTCTCTCATAAGAGTTCAGGGATACATTAATCTATGGGCATAGCAATATGTGTTTGCAGTTGTTTTAGTACTATGTTCCTTCAGCAGAATAATAGTAGGAGGTTTTCCCATAGGGTCCATGACTTATCTAGTTCCAGGTTCCATCAACAGTGACAGGTATGGGTTCCTGACATGGAGCAGACCTTAAAGCCAACCAAAATGTGGTTGGTTACTTCTGTAACGTTTGTACCATTGTTGCATTATTGTAGCTCACTGGGTTTATAACTGGGTGAGACTGATGATTACTTTTCTCCTCTGATAGTTTAGTCTGTACAGTAACTTCCGGAACTGTGAACATTCATCAATAGGGTTGAAACTTCTAGTTGGGCATTAGCTCAGGTTCTTTATGGTCAATGACATAAGCATGCATTGTCCTGAGCAATAAAGTCTTACTGTCAGGTTGTGGAGGGTAACCAATGCAATTGGCAATAGCATGTAATGTTTGAGGGTAATCTATGGGACCCCCTTGACTAACAACTCAGAGATGTAGCTGATTCCTGGAGGTCTTTCAAAAGGCCTTTAGTCTGAGTTGTCCCTCCGCATATCTCTCTTTTGCCCTGTTCTCCCAGTACCCTTTCCATTTAGTCCTCCTATTCTAGTTTCTTCTTTATCTGTTTATAATACTGTATTCTATTTCCCCTTCTTTGGAGGATCCCCTCCACTCCCTGGTCACTTACTAGCTACCTTATCTCTGTGAATATTCTGAATAAAACACACATCTGAATTTTAAAAGCTAACACCCACATGTAAGAAAAACTGGGCAATGTTTGTCTTTTGGGGTCTGAGTTACCTTACTTAGGATGGTTGATTCTAGCTATTGGTGAAATTACTGAGGCCACTCCACGTAGTTAAAAGGAGATTTATTTAATGGTGTAACTTACAAATTAAGGGATAGGTAGGTCGCGGGGTCTGGGGAAGGTGTATCGCAGTCCAGCGGTGTTCTCTGGAGCTCTGCTCACTCCACCTCCACCGTTCAGGGTCCTGGAACAGAGAGAGCGCTGGCCCATCCAGATCTCGGGTCTCCATGTGCCTCCCTTGGCCCCGCCTTGTAGGCATGACAGTTGCCGAAGTCTCAATGGGGGTTGGAACTTCCAGATCAAAGCTGGAATGGCTACCCACTACATCTAGCTCTACCCATTTACCTGCAAATTTCATTTTTCTTAACAGTTGAATAATATTTCATTGTGTAAATGTATTGCACTTTCATTATCTATTTATCAGTTGGTGGACATATATGCTAATTCCAACTTCTGGCTTTATGAACATGTCTGAGCAAGTATCTCGGAAGTAAGATATAGAGTCCTTTTAGTATAATGTCAAGAATGGTATAGCTGGATCTTGTAGATCTATTTTTATCTTTTTGAGGAAACTCTACACTGATTTCTATAGTGATTTATAAGTTTGCACTCCTGCCAGCAATGAAGTAATCTCCTTCCCCCACATCCTCATCATCGTGTGCTGTCATTTGTCTTATTGATCTTGTTCATTCTGACTCGGGTAAGATGAAATCTCAAAGCAGTTTTAATTGGAATTTTCTTGGGACTGAAGATATTAAACATTAAAAAAAAATTTCCCAGATGAAATGTGTTTCATCTTTTGAGAACTTTCTTATTCTGTACCCCATTCTAAAATTGGGTTCTTTGTTTTCTTGATGCTCAGTCTTCTCGGTGCTTTGCATATTGTAGATACTAACTCCATGTTAGAAGTATAATTGGAAAATATTTTGCCTACTATGTATGCTGATGCTTTGTTCAAAGGGAATGATTATGTCCTTTTCTAATCAGAAGCTCTTGAGCTTCATGATGTCCTGTTTATTAAGTATTGGTCTCAATGTCTATGCTGTCAGTGTTCTGTTCAGAAGTCTCTTCCTGTGCCAATAAGTTCAAGCCTATTCTTTACTTTCTTTTCAATCAGAGTCATGGTGTCTGGTATTATGTTGATCTCTTTGATCCATTTGGAATTGAGTTTTGTGCAGGGTGATAGATAGGGGCCTTATTTTCATTCTTCTGCATGCAGCTTCCAGTTTGACCAGCAATTATAGATTTTTAAAGTAAAAGTTAATGTGACATGCCTCTGGGAGGATCGCTGTGAGTGCTTTGCCTTCTGGGATTTTCACAGCATGTATATGAGCTTAAATATTATAAGCACTGTCTTAGTCACTTTTCTTTTACTGTGAAAAAACACCATAGCCAAGAGAACAGCTGGGGGTTCACATCTTGATCCATACACAGGAGGCAGAGAGAATACTGAGCATGTTGCAAGTCAGTTAACACATTGAAGTCCATCCCACAGTGACACACCTCAACAAGGCACACCTCCTAATCCTTCCTAAACAGTTCTACCAACTGGGGACCAAGTATTCAAACATAGGAGACTGTGGAGACCATTTTCAAACCACCACAGGCATATCGCTTCTTCTGAAGTTACAATACTTCAGTTCCAAAGTAGCAGGGTGTTGAAATGGGCAAGGTAACAGTTTTCAAAGACTAGTACCTCTCTACCTAATTATTGTTTAATTGTTCTAATTTAGATACGTGTCTGGGCCCGGAAAGATGACATTGCAGATGGAAATGTAGACTTTGCTGTGAACATCACAGGTCCCATCTTTTCGTTTCTGGAGGATTTGTTTAATATCAGTTATCCACTTCCAAAAACAGGTGAAACATTTAAAAAAAATTCAGTGCACAATGTTTCTGTTCTGCAGGTCCTGATTCAAGATCACATGATCTGTCAATGAACCTTCAAGGGTATATTGCAGCCATTTAGCTTTTATCTTGGCTAACCTCATGACCATTCACCATGGCATTTGATACCTTCCAAAACACACAGAGATCTGACTGTGCTTTCTCTGTCTGGTGCTATGTGTCTAGTGGGTCAAGATCATTTTTATTTCAGCTCCCTTGTGTCTGGTGGCTCATTCTCTAGATGGGGCTTTTTTTTTGAGCTGAGGATCAAACCCAGGGTCTTGGGCTTGCTAGGCAAGCGCTCTACCACTGAGCTAAATCCCCAACCCTTAGATGGGGCTTTAAAAACTCTCTTATACTTACATATAGCACTGTGCAGTGCTGGGATCTGGATTCTTTCAGCTAGTGAGCTTGCAAGATTTTAGATATTCTTTAGCTATGACTCAGTGGCTTAGTGCTTGCTGTTATCTATAGATTTCATCATAAAAATTAGAATCATGTGTGACTATAATATGATCCTCGAGGATTTGTGTAAATATTTTATCTTTCATAGATCTGTATGGTATGCCTGTAAAGTTTTGTGAGCCACTCAGCTTGGAAAGTTGCTCAATGTGTTTTCCGCCCCCTCTGTTTAAATCACGTGTGTTGTGTAAATTATTTTGTTCCTCCATGTTTCTGAAGTCTTGGGAACATGATGCTCTTCCTACACAGCCAGATGGCAGGAGAGGGTGGGGAGAAAATATTTGGGATGTGAGGCTCTGCAGAGACTCTGCTGCTCAAGCATTTTCGTTTAGGGGGAATAGAGGGTGAAGGGGTGAGGAGCAGCTTGAGCCTGGTCAGAAACCCCAGTATGCATGTCACATAAAGAACTGGTGATTGCAGGCATCTGTGCTTGCAAACCAAGTTCTTCCATGCTAGAGGAGGTCGAGGTAGCTAGTCCTTGCCAGCAAAACAATACAACAAACAATGCTCATTCATTAAGACGCCAGAGAAACCCTTATTCTTGCATGGCACCCTGTCTGTTCAACAAGACACTTTATTTTTTTTCTCCCATCCCCCAAGCCACTTACTGCCTTCCTACTCCTACTTGCTGCCAGTATACATCACCATCATTTCTAGCAGACCAGTCTTTATGTGATGTCATCCTTCAACTCATTCTCGTATGTGAAGCCAGAATCTTTGCAGAGAAATTGGAGGCAGACTCCCCCCCCAACCAGTTCACAAATAACCACATGGAGACTTATTATTAATTATAAATTCTCAGCCAATCTCTCAGGCTTGTTACTAGCTAACTCTCACATTTTAAATTGAGCCATATTTCTTATCTGAGCTCTGCCACATGGCTTGGTACCTTTTCTCAGCATGGCAAGTTCATCTCCTCTTTTCTCTGCATCTCCTTATGACTCCCAAGATTCCTCCTCCTCTCTTTGCCTGCTGCTCCCACCTAACCTCTACCTGTCCAGCTATTGGCCAGTCAGCTTCTTTGTTAAACTAACCACAGTGACATATATTCACACAGTGTAAAGGAATATTCCACGAGAAATAACTGATCATGTTAAAGTCCTCTTTAAAAATCTATCTGCAGCTTCCCATTATCACAAGGATGGAGTTTGAACCCCAACCATGTCTTTACAATGGTGGACCAACCTACTCCAGGTGAACCAACCTATTCCAGGAGTTGGGCAATACCCAACTATGTTTGTTACCCTTGCACAGTTTCTACACTCTTCTGGGTCCTCAAGTCTCTTCACACCATATACAATTTGTGCATTCTGAAATGTGTTTTACCTAACTGGATAATTCATCTTTCCTACTTGTTAACTCAGACAAAAAAGGTCTTTGTTAGGAGGAGTGATGAATAGTGAGGCAGGTACACAATAGAAGACTAGACAGCAATGGAAATGAAGCACCTTTTCTAAAGTTTAAAACACAAAAGTGATTTTACATAATGAAAGAAAATAGAATATACAACCTACTTAAAGCAAGGGAAGAGTAAATACAAAATGTGAGAGAACAGTGTATAAAGTTGAAAATTTTATCATCTGGCCTTGTACAGAAAAAGTTGGCCAACCCCAGTCAGTTCTAAAGAGTAAAGTGTTAGACCTGTGATTGCTTCTATTGTTACTTTGAAATAATTAGTTAAATGTTTGTATAAAATAATGCAGGATCATATAGGAATTAATGGTGATAATTTATTTTTTAAAAACTCAATGATTTTGCTTAATTAAATTATATTTGAAAATATAATTTGAAAATGTGTAAAAAATAGTCATTAGAAGGGATCTAGCAAGGTGGCTCAGTGAATAAAGGCACTTGCTGCCAGGCTTGACAACCCAGGTTCATTCTCAGGGATTGACAGTGTGAAGGAGAGAATTGACTCCCATGGGCTGTCTTCTGATCTCCATATGTGTGCCATGACACTGCACACACACACACACACACACACACACACACACACACACACTGCACACGTGCGCACGTGTACACACACACACATTCACACGCATGTATGCATGCAATTACACAGACACACATGCATGCATGCATGTCAAAAGATGCAATTTCAGGAAAATTTAAAAGTAGTCAACCAGTATCTATAAGAAATGATTTCTTTTAGCTGTCAGGGCCAGACTCCAAGAGCTGATCACATTTTCACCCTTTGAGTAGGGGGTTTCCTGGCATAGCAAACAGGATTAGTTAGCAGAGGAAATCTAGGGTCAACAAAAGGAACTGAGTGGGCAGGGCAGCATAGTCTTTTGCAAAGGAAGTGTATGGGTTTGAGATGGAATGAGGGTTGTGGGGGGAGGAGTTTAGAGGGATGGGCAATGTCACTAAGTCTGATGCATGTTCTGAGGCACAGTGACCTATGGGGCTGGGAGAAGACCAGGATTTAGCCCATCTTGTTATTGTTGAGTTTGGATATCTTTCTAGATTTGGAGTATGAGTCTCTTAACATAAGTATTTGCTCTTTATATGATTTTCATATAGCTGTGATAGCTTATTTTCTGTTTTCTATCTTCAGTGTTAGGTTTTTTAAAAACAACCTTCTCTTTACTAAGGTTACAATTTCCTCTGGTCTTTATTTTTCTGTGACTTTATTTGGACATAATTTATAGCTAAACAACATTTTATTAGAAAAGATGATTTAATTTTTTTCCTTACTTAAACCCACTTAGATATAATTGCCTTGCCTAATTTTGACAATCGTGCAATGGAAAATTGGGGACTGTTGATATTTGACGAAGTATCCTTGTTGCTGGAAGCAGATGATAAACTGACCGAGAAAAGGGCTATGATCTTGGCCGTCATCTCCCATGAGGTTGGGCACCAGGTACATGGTGAAATGTTCTTTCTTATTTCACAGGGAGGTATTTTCTAGCTGTTTTCCTCAAAGCATCAAAACCAAGAAATACCAGCCACATACCTAATTTGGGGAAATGTATAACTGTGAAGAAAACAAAGAAGGGTCTGTGTGCTGTCAGTCAAGCTGAGTCCGACCCATTGGGGTATTGTGAACCTGTTTAATTTTATTCTAGGAAAAGGTTCAGTGGAGGCAACCAGGGTTAGTGAGGGCCATATGAGGGCTCAAGCTGCATCCACAAAGGGTGTAACCAGGAGGCGCATCATCAGCTCTGTGTGCTTCATACTGGGATCTTAAAAGTCTAGGCGTTTGACCTGATGGAGAGTCTCACACCTACATTCTAGTCTCCATTCCATTAACACAAATGTGTCAAGCAAGAAACAACCATACGTATGACAGTGGCATTTTCTCACTTGTGTGACTCCACAAGTTTTAGAAAAGACCAAATAACACCCTGGTTACACAGTTCACATACACCCATGAATTTGGATCAGTTGTCCCAAGTGTCATTTCTTATTGCCACCCGAGTGACATTTTTAAAAAGAAACATAAGCTGCTAACAAATGCTGTAAGAATTTGGTTAGATACCAGGGTTTGGGGAGTTGCATTTTTCTTTCCAAAGACATCTATACTTTTTCCTGCCCGGTTCAGCTTGAATAGAAAATAACAGCAGCTGTAACACATTACAGAGTATACACGTGCTTGAGTGACTCATATGTGGTGTGGATGAAATCACAATCTGAAACACAAATCACAATCTAAATAGTATCTACTTACAGTGAAGTCCTAGTTACACTATAAGGTGTGAGAATAGCAGGGCTAAGTGAGAGCCTAGGACTTCAGCTTCATTGAACTAAACACAACTCGTGGGCAAAGCCAACTGTTTATAGTCAGCCAGCCAGCCTAGTGCTTACATATCATTTTAAAGCCAAGACTGCTTCCAGTGACCAGAATTGACGAGGTCATTTCTGAGAGATGCATGGCTGATATCTCCTCATGTGAAAACATCAAGGCATGTTTGGGAGTCCTGTTCTCAGGCTTTGTTACTGATGACAAATGACATGTATGTCTTTTTGGCATCCTACTTCCTTAGTGTGTATTCGCAGTAAGGAGAGCTTAAATTTCAGAAATACCTTCTTCTCTCTCACACCTGCAAAAGTGGTTCGGGAACCTGGTGACCATGAGTTGGTGGAGCAATATTTGGCTCAACGAGGGCTTTGCATCTTATTTCGAACTTGGAATAATTAGCTACTTCTATCCTAAGCTTCCGAGGGTAAGTAATTTAAACGTTTACCCCCATTATAAAAATAATGCGTATCACTGTTGAAAAGCCTGTAAAACACGGACAAATCCAGTAACTATTAAGTTACTAAAACTCTTGTCAAAGGTGAGTCATGCTGCCTTTTATGTTTTCTTTTTTTCTTACAAGCTTTTTACTTATTAATTCTGTCTAAGTGAGGCTTATACTGAGACTTCTTTTGGCTTAAAATTTTTGATATTTAGCTGGGTGGTAGTGGTGCACGCCTTTAATCCCAGCACTTGGGAGGCAGAGGCAGGCGGAACTCTCTGTGAGTTTGAGGTTAGCCTGGTCTACAGAGCTAGTTCCAGGACAACCAGGGCTAGACAAAGAAACCCTGTCTCATAAAACCAAAGAAAAGTTTTAATGTTTATTTACTTATGTTGTGCGCAGCAGGCTGCATAGGCCACAGCATACATGAGGAGGTCTGAGGACAATTAGTGCAAGTCCATTCTCTCTGTCCAACGTGTGGGCGTGAGGGGTCAAACTCTGGCTGTTAGGCTTGGGGGCAAGTGTCCTTCCCTGCTGAACCATCCCACCAGCTTTCAGAGAGTTCTAATGCTGGAGTGGTAGGGTGGCTCAGTGGGTAAAGCCACTTGTTTTGCAAGTCTGACAACCTAGTTTTGATTCTTGGAACCTATGTAAAGGTGGAAGAAAGGACCCAATTCTGTGCACTCCCATATACATCCTCCACAACAGAATAATTTTTAAAAGTTTCTAATGTGTCTTCACTCCATATACCATCATGAACACTTCTATATATCATTAAATCCACTTGGAAATGAAGAAAATTTTTTCCGTGATGTGAACCCACAGGATCTGGGAAGTGCTGAGATGGAGCTACCCACTTAACACTCCAGTCCCACACCGCCCCCTCTGCTCTCCCCAGATCACCTAGATCATCCTCCCTTCTGTCACCTGTCACTCTGCAGTGTCTCCCTCTTCCTTCCCTGCACTGAGCACAGGGCCTGTTGTCCTGGAAGAGAGTCTGGACATCATTCCATAGATCAGGAGAATGAAGTGTTAAAAGCTTTAGTGATTTATCTGAGATCATTTCCTATCCGGGACAGAGTTGGCTTTGAAATGTAGTTGTCTAGTGCTAGTCTGATGGCCAAGATGATGATGATGGAGACTGCTGGGTTTGCCATCACCACCTCTTCAAGACCCAGGGTCTGGAGGACTCCCTATCTCCTGTTCTGATATTTGTTACCCAGTGACTTCTCTGTCTTTCTTCTCCCGCCTTGTTTAGAAAAGTAGCAGGCTAGGTGATGGACCAGGCAGCAACTTTCTTGTGTGTAAGCATAGTTCTGACCCTAACCCTGGGCCTCACGCATGTCAGGCAAGGACTCCACCACCGAGCAGGGCCCCTGTATCCTCCTTATGCCTTTCTTACCACCGTAAGCTGAGATGCACAGTTGAACAACTGAGCTAAGAGGAGTTTCATGTAGTCATTGAACGGGGTTCCTGAGCATCGGTCACATGCTATGTGACAACTGTCATTAAATATACACTCATGTGCAGACAGAGTATCACAGACTTTATTTGTTCAGTTCTAGGAACAATTAATGATGGTGATAAATAGCCTAAAGTGGTTAACTCCTACGGAGCAGGCTTTACTTACTGGGCATTTTGCTGGAAACTATAAATTAATTTAGTCTTTAATACAACGAAGTGAGGACAATGTTGTTTCCCCTGTTTTGAGATGGTAAAATGAATGTAAGAGATAGAAATGGTGACCTATATGAGTAAAAGAACTGTTAAGAGAGTTAAAAAAAATGATTGATGGTCCATTGTCTTGACAACTGCCTATTCATTTATTGTAACACTTTGCTTTTTATAAAAGTTTTATCTGTTATACTTGGAAAAGAAGAACTCCATCTGGGACTTGACCAAACTAAGTTGGGCTTTGGTTCCTTCTGATTTATCTTTCTGTTCATTTGTAATATAACAGCTGTCTTAGGGAGTGGTCGTGAAGATCAAGTAACAAAAACTCAAAATGTTGGTAAGTAAAGTAGTGTGCCACTATGGGAATACATACATGAGAAGTGTTAGAAAGGATTATACTAAAGCCAAATTTGTGGTAGTGATTATCTTAGGGCATGAATCATGGAACTTTAAAATTTCTCCCTTGTGTCTGTGGCACGTTGATCAAAATGAGACACTCTCAAGAACACTAACAAAACCTACACTTAATGAATAGGCTTAAACCTGTGCAGGGACTTCTAAATTCTTGCTACATGGAGTATGATTACTGAACTAGCAATAAGAGAGCTTTAGAATTCTACATCCTTAGTTACTAGAGTACAGCATACTATCCAGATCAACATAATTTCAACACAATTCCCAAATGATCCATTTTCTATTAAAATTTCAGACATAGCCAGGCAGGGTAACTTAAATCTACCATCTCAGCTATTTAAGAAGCTGAGGCAGGAGGATTTAAAATTAAAAAAACAACCTGGGTTATACAGCAAGACATCATCTCATACAACAAAGTTGTTGACCCATTATTCTATGTTATAAGCCTCCCATTTCCAGAAGAGCAGATTTTGGCAACAACCTTGAGATAGTTAATACTTATTATTAAATTGACAAAGTCTAGAATCACCTAATATCCAGTCTTCTGGGTAAGCACATATAAGATTATATATAAGCATATATAAGAATAGCCTTTGGATGTGCCTATTATCTAGATTAGGATATTATATTATTATTATTATTATTATTATTATTATTATTATTATTATTATTATCTAGATTAGATTATCTAGAGTGGGTTCATTTAGGTAGAAAGATCCACCTTAACTATGTGCAATACCATGGACCAGGGGTCTGATTGAGTTGTAAAGAGAAAGTGAACGGAACACTAAGACCCATTTCTCTCTGCTTCCTGACTGTTCATGAGATGTAACCAGCTGCCTTGAGCTCCTCCTGTCATGACTTCTCAGCCACAATGAACTGCATTCTCTGTCAGGGACCAGTCCTGACCTTCAAAGCGTTCTTGAGTGGAGGAGTGAGGAATTGAGAAACAATAGGAAGAAATATAGACGTAGACAAAGAAAAAGATAGAGACCCAGCAAAGCTTCAGGAGGGCCCTGGGTCAATACTCAGTGGCCCTGAGTTTATTCATGATGGGCCATAAGCAAGGGGAGAGGCAAAAGACCTCCCCCTTTCAAGGTTGAGGTATAAAATACCAACAAGTATAGACCCTTCAAAACACCTGGTAACCAAGCCTTTGGCCAAATCATACTATTATGCAGCCTTGTTGGGATAGCAAGTTCAGACTTTCTGACCTTGAGTCACTAGGGAGCCTCTGTGGGTCCCCACAACTCTTGAACCATAAACCAAAATAAACCCATTCTTCCTTAGTTTACTTTTGGCAGTATGGTATATTTTGTCACAGTAACAAGTCAAGTAACTAATATAAGCCTAATTGATGGTATTGCTAATCAAAACTTAAGTGAGGAATACAAAAGAGTTGGTCAGAATGTTAATAAATGAAAGTAGATAAGAATAGGAATGTTTACCTGATACTGATATGGCATGCAGCATGAGAAGTCAGTTCGAAATTTCAATTGGTAGGGATTTTAGGCTTTACCTGAGTATCAGGGGCTAACTCACTCACCAGGGTGCAGATAACTCATCTGTGCAACATCTCTCCCAATCTCAGTTCTGGTTTTTTTTATTTTTAATCCCAAATTCCTCTTTGGCTGTAAATTAGTTTTCTTTCTAGTTTCACATCAGAGAGAAATTGCTCTTGCCATGTGCCCATGTGCCAGTGTCTTGAACAGTCCTGTGGCTCTCAATACAGTGTAATGAACTGCTGTCTCAGAATACATGAACTGCCAACACTTGTATCTAGTCTGTAGATTCCTTTCCTGTTGTAAGTTACTATGTCATCATCATTGTCAATTTATAAGTTTAGTGGGTTTTTTTTTTGCTTTGTGATTATGCATGGAAAAACAACCATCAGTTTTAATGAGCCATGGATTCAATTGACAATACAATCTAGTGGATTGGAACTACATAGAAACAGTGCTGGGAACCTATCTTGATGAGAGAAATACATGACTCTTAGGCATCACACTCCTCTGTAATTTGCTTCTTAAAAATCAAAATAAAAGATAGAAATAGGAAGGAAGATGGCCTATCATTTTGTTACTCAAGTAATTCTAATGTTTGGAGCATATTGTTATTCAGATATTTTTCATTTATTCTTTACCCATTCAATGTGGGTTTTGGAAGCTATCTTAGGAATGTCGGATTTTGTATTTCTGTAACTCTCAGAAGTTAATGTGGCTCAATCTTTTCCTTTATAGAATGAGATCTTTTTTTTTAACGTTTTACATGGTGTTCTCAGAGAAGATCATGCCCTGGAGTCTAGAGCTGTGTCCACTGAGGTGGAAAATTTCACAGAAACAAGTGAAATAAATGAACTCTTCGACATATATACTTACAACAAGGTAAAAACACATTTATATTTTCTTCTGTTCTCATGCAGAGTTGTATGGGTGGATTCTAAGGACTATAAAATGCTAAAACTTTGGGTTAAAGTAACTTTAATCCTATTGCCTAATCAATGTCAGAAAATACTTTAAAGTCAGGCTTCACTTAGCAAATATTTTTAGTGAGGTTATATTAGATATTGGGCATATCTATTATTATAAATAGACTTACATACCTTGATGCTTTAAAAGCAAACTTTTCCGGACTTCTCTCCCCCCCCCCC